TGATCATGCACGTGGCTCTCCTCTGCACTCTCTCAAACTTCTCCACTTCTCAAGCTTTCCCTTCCCTATTCTTTTTTTTACACTTGGCCAGTGTTGTTTTAGTGCTGCTATTGCATGTCATGAACTTCCCACACCACAGTGCCTATTATTCAGCTTTCTGGTAAGCTGTATCTCCCCTGATATTACTGAAAACTAAAAAAGATGTTACTGTGTTAACCTGTTCAGAGGTGCTTGGTTCTAGCAGAACAAACACTACAGGCTGTTCTAAAGGCCATAAGCTTCTCTTTTCACCAGGTCCCCAGGCTATGGCCTCCAGAGTCCTACTAGGACTGCTTCTCATGCACAGCTCCTAACCTAAGTCCCATTGGTAAGCAAATGGAGTGGAAGTGGAGGAGTGAATCAAAACAAATAAGAAGAGTGAAGCCAGGTGCTAGTGGTTGAAGTGCCCTGATTAAAATAGACCTTCATGGCTGAAAAGATATGGGGAATTGTGCAGGGATGAAAGCAGAGGAAGGAAAAAGAAAAGAGGTGAAAACTGGAAGAGTGAAGAGGAGGGATAAGTGGAGGAGAAGAAAATGAAGAATAGGAGGGGAAGAACAACAGAATAATTGGTCAGGAAGAGAGAGCTAAAAAAGAAGGTACTAACCAGAAATGAAATGGGAAATAAATATGGTGAGAGAAATTCCAAAGAGATCCAAATCTGCATAAATGGATTAAAGAATAAGAGACAGGATGCACCAAAGACAGTAAAAGTGGGCATTAACACAGCAAACACAATTTACCCACCTTACCCTACAGTCTACTTCCCTGTAGGGCTGTGCAAACTATTGGTTGCTGGTTTGATTTGGAGGAGATTCGGTGGCCAAATCTCCAAATCCAAATCAATTGGGACACCAATAAAAAGGTCTGAATAGATTCAAAGCCTCCAAATCAATTTGGAAAAGATTCAGAGATTCAGGCAGTCCCCGCTTGCCGCTGCAGAGAGCTAGACCTGGGCTCCATGCCAGTAAGTAGAGGGCTAGGGGGGAGGCTGGAGGAGGGGAAAATGGGGGGACCCCCACCAGGCCCCATCCCTTGCCTGCTCCCCCAGCCCCCCAGGAGTGCCCCCTGACTCCTGCCTGTTCTCCCAGCCCCACCAATGGCTGCCCTACCTGGCCCCTGCATCCTGGCACTTAAAAAAAAAAAAAAAAAAAAAAAAAA